TTCTAAAGCCAAGTAGAGTAGCAAAAAATAATATATTTTTTATATATGATAGTGAACCCCATAAGGCCCATGAGGACAATCCAGTAGTATTTTTTTTTACACATAAAAGTCTGCTCGCCCTCTCTGCTGCTTCTGAATTCAGTTTCAGTATTGTTGGTTCTGTAAAGGGCATTTCTGTGAACATATTTGTTACTTTTTGAGATACTGTAGTTTTGACAAAGTATAAGGCTATGAAGATCGAGGTTATTTTTTTTTTCTTATAAAACAAAGAATTATTTTTTTAAAAAAAAATACGATTGATTTATATATTTATTTTATGTGTTTTTTTATTTTTCTTAAAGTGGTATGATTTTTTGAAATAGGTTTTTGTATTTAATAATAATAAGCAAGTTTTGAATAATTGTTTTTGGGTTGTAAATTTTAATAGGTTTTTCTTTTATGCTTCTTATCGACTTAAATTAGATGATAATTGATTATTTGGGCGTTGGCAAGGGCAATCTTAAAGATCGGAATAGATATCGAGTAGGTTTATTTTTCTTGTTTTTTTTTTCTAAAGTTAATTATTGGTTATTTATTTATTTATTTTATACTAAATATTAAAAATAGTGTAATATTTTTAAGAGATTAAAGTTTTATTATCTATTTGTAGTCGATAAGTAAATTGATAAAAATTGTATTTTGGTAGATATAAAAGATCGAAATTTATAAAAGTTTCATCCAAGGTTTATTCACGAAGGTTTATATAATTCAGTGAAATAAATAATATTAGTGCGAATTAAAATGTGAAATGAAGTTTGACAAAAGAAATAAGTGAAGCAATATATAGTGATAATTCGAAAAAGAATGTAATGATGAATATAGTAATATATATTTGTATTGTTGGTATAGATGTTATTTAGAAATCAGTCTAAAACTAGATCGAAATTCAAGATTAGATTTCTGCAAGTTATCTGCAAAAATAATAATAATTTAGGAATCTTAATTTGAGAAAATTAGATAAATTGAATTGATAGATGTGTGTTCAAGTTTAAACTTAAATATATAGTGTAAGAAATTCACGATCTTGTAAGTTTCTTGTTTTTTTTTTTGTATTTAATAAATAGCAATACTATTCAAGCAATTGTTTATATCTAATATATGGTAATTTTCTTTTTATAATTTTGGTTAAGCTTGTATTTTTTATTAAAATTATGTGTTTTAGGTTTTTTACATCATTGAGAACTAAATTTGTATAATTGATTAGTTCTTAAAAATATCAAGATAAAGTGATATGAATCTAGTTAATAAAAAGTATATAAATATTTTATTTGTTTGTTTTGGGCTTTTTATATCATCAACAACTAAATTTGTATAATTGATTAATTTATTGAAAATATCAAGATAAAGTAGTACAAATTTGGCTATAAAAGGTGTGTGAATGTTTTGTTCAGTTTATCGAATTTTATTAGTTTTTTTTTAGTATGCAATTTGTAATTAAGATGATTTTTTTAGTATTTGTTGGTTAGACTTGAAGAGAACTTGTAAAAACTTACTAGAAAAATCGAAGTTGGCATATTTGTGTTTGTAAAAAGTGGTATGGTTTTTAGTTTTAGTTGTAAAATTTATTATTTATAATTTATAATTAATCAAGTTAGAAAGTGGATATGGTAGTGATAAATATGTAAAATTTATATTTGGAAATATGTGCAAGTATTTAACTGGATAATTAAAGAGGCTTAGTTAATTTTTTTTTTGATATGAGTTGAAGTGCATTATTAAAATATGCATAAATATGTGTAATAGGTGATTAATTAAATAAGATAGTTAAATTTATTAAAATAGATGACATGAAAATGCATTGTTGAAGAGTTTTTATACAAGAAAAAAAACTATACTTGTTAGTATTTGTCATGGTTAATGGTAAAAAAGGAAATAAATTATAGTGATGACCAATAAGACTTTTGTTTTGATAAGTGAAATATTTATGTGTAGTGAGATACACCTATAAGATACAATGTTTGGTGGCGATTAAGAAGGTATAGACATGTAGTAGGGTTTGCTAAGCAGTAAAAAAATCGTTAAATTCAGTTAAGTTAGGGTTAGTAAATCACGATAGAGTTAGAAGGTGGCAGATATATCTAATAAATTGACCAAGGAAAAGTTTTTGCTAGAGAACCAAAGTTTTAGATTTTTAAATTATGCGTAGCAATAATTTTTTAGTCTAGTGATTAAGAATAGATTTAGAAGTGATCGTCAAACTATTTTTTTCATTAGAATCTTTTTGTTTTAGTCTTTGACGATTATTAATTATCATTTTATCAGTCCAGTAAAAATTTCGACAAAAAAAAATAGAAAATTGTCGAATAATAAAAAAGTAGACTAATAAATTCAGAGAAGAAAAAGCAAAAAAAAAGCTTCGAAGGCCAGATAGCATATAAAATTTGACTTCTGTTTTCTTTAAATCTTTTTTATGTTAAGCGTGGTTCTGAGCATAATCATGCTCATCTTGAGAGTATAATATATACAACGCAACCAATTTTGTGAAATATTGAGTATCCCATTTTGTAACTAAAATTACCAAAA